GATAAGTATTTAGGTTTACTTAGATATATGTCTGAGTTCTTTTTCTTAGCCTTAGATTTAAGTAATAAAACATTTTCTGGACATGTAAAAAGTTTTTGTTAAATCTAATAAAGATAAGAGCAAGGTCTCACCTTTAACATAAAAAAAAAAAAAAAAAAAAAAAATAAGTTTCATAATAAAACTCAAATACACGTTTGAATCTGAACACCTTGTTTTTAAAATGACAAAAAAAATATGTCACATGGCTACTACACTTGTAGAAACTAGTATTATTAATGAAACTTATCATTATAGACCTTTCTCACGATATTGGTGGCGAGAAAATCCTACAAATAAAAAAAACTATCCATTTTTTCCAATTCGTATTGGACAAAAAACTATTACTATTCTTAACAAACAGAAATTTATAATCACAGTAGTTGCTGGCAATTCTATTACTTCCTTTTTATCTGGTTATCAATGCTCTTGTAATAATATTTTGTCAGAAATAGTTGCTGATCCAACCACGGCTATTTCTACAGTATATAAAAATTTATTCAAAACTAAAACACGTTATTCAGGACCTCTTGTAATTGGCTGGTCTAATGAAAAAATTATATTCCAACTTTTATTTGATATTAAATTTTGTCCATTTTCATTTTTTTTAAATAACAAAAATGAAATTTTTGTATTTGGAATTGGTTCATCATCATGTAAAGAGCTAAAAAAAGGTGAATCCGGTTATAAGTTATCATTAATTTGTGAATATTATTCTAAAAAAACATTATTTGTTTCAATTAAAGATGATTTTAATTGTTCTCTTGAAATATATCAAGATTTTAAATTGATAAAACAAATTAAAGGTCGAATATCTGATGAAGTTTGGCATCCAATTAGAATAAAAAATTTTAATGGAACACAACTTTTCAGTTTAAAAAACCCTACAACTCAATTATATCTCCAACAACAACATGTTCCTACATGTACTCCTATTGATTGGTATAATTATAATCTAATAGAAACACTTTTTAATTATCATCTCAAATGGAGAATAATTGCAAATATTACATGGTATCAGTTTTTTATTAATTGGGCTAAAAACGAAAGCAAGATAATAGAGTTAGGTGCTAGCTTACAAGAAATCTATCCAGCACATTATCATTTTAATAAAAGAGAATTTAATGCTTGGCAAGCTTTAATTTGGGCTGCTGGCGGACATAATATAACACCATGGTCACACAATGAATCAGAGGTTTGAATATTTACTATTTAAAAAATTTTTATTCGAATTATAGCAATATTAATTTTTATCAGTTTCAGATTTGGACACATGCTAATTCACCAAACAAAGATAAAGAAATAATGCAAACCTTGTTTAAAATAGAATTTTTAATACCAGTTCCAAAATATATACCGAATAGTACACAAACATTTTGAATATGTTTTCAATGTACACTTTCTAATAATAAAAAAAATCCAGATGCCAAAAGGCGTATACTTTCAATTATTGCAAATAATTTTACATATTCTGAATTAGAGTCTAATTTAAATGTAAGAAAGTTTAAATTAATTATAAAATTAGCATTAATAAATATTAACAAATTTTAATTTAATTTATAATAATAAGGTTGGACGACATACAATTTATAAATCTCGAAAATATGCAATAATTAATAGATATGGTGCACCTCCACTTTTCAAACCAATTAGTCATTGTGTTCGATTTTCACAAGAAAGTTTAATACATTTTGATCAATTTTTTATACATAAAAATAATATTTCACAAAGTAGTTACAAGACTGATACTTTAACTGGCTTGCCTGTAGTATATTTGCATGATACAAAAAAAAGTTTGTGGGAAAAGTTTCATGAAGAATTTCCAAAAGAAATGAAACATACAGCATTTATGACACGTTTAGAAAGTGGGTGATTTTTATATAGAGAAAATATGGGTGGACTTTGTAATACATGTAATGAATATGGTTATGAAGTATTTGATGATATTAGATCATTGATTGATAAAGATATAACAAATATAACTGATAAGGTATAGCTATATATAATTTCATTTTTTTTCTATATTTTGTTTAATTACTTAATTTACATTAATATATAGTATAAATTAACTATTTAAAAAACAAAAAGAATTAATTGAAAAAATAGAATATTTGCAATGATATTTGCGAAAAGATTATGCTAAAGCTCTTTTAGTAAACAAGCAAGGTGTTCTGATTCACAATTTGTATATTAGTCATTGTCTTGGCTATAGATTTGGAAATTGTAATCATTTACATCCTAATATATATGACAAATGTGAAAATCTTTTTGAATTCTTTAATCAATTACAAGAAAAACTAGAATTTAATCAACATGAATTTTTAAAGAATTATCAAAATTGCTTAATAGCCTTTATAGCTCATCATGCACGTAGAACTTACTTGAATGCACAACTAGCTGCTGAACTTGAATCCTTAGATTATAATGGGGCACTAATTCTTGTAGATTTCAAAATGCGAATTAATCCTCAAAGTGCTCATGAAACTAAGGAAGATTTTTTTGGCAAACGAGGATGGACTTACATACAGTTCTTGTATATCAAAAAAGTTACTTAGAAGAAAAATTAAATATATGAGCATTCAACTATTGGTCAGATGATACTCGTCAAGATGCATGGTTTGCAGCTTTGTTACTTCATACAGTTATAGAAATTATTGATCCAAAACCACAATAGATAACAATAGTATTAGACAATGGCCCACATTATAAAAATACTGAATTAATGTTAATTATGAGCCATTGGAAGAAATGGTATAATGTTAGCCCTCAAAAATGGATTTTCCTTGAGGCCGGGAAGCCAAATCTATAATTGACTTACATCACGCACAGGTTGGCTTTAGTCGAATTTATATTTTTATATATATATACTATATAATATAATCTAATCATATTAATATTTTAGATTACGCATTCAATAAAAAGATGTGTTAAGTTAGGGTATGATATCAAATCAGAGGAAGATATAGAAAATACAATAAAAAATTTATCAGGAATGCATGTAGCTAATCTTGAACCAAATCATAATTTAGGTAATATCATATAAGGTTGCAATTACATGAATTTTAGTTAAAATTAACAATTCATCATATTAAATTTTTAAAACATTAATTTATTCTAAATTATATTTAGACAAAAAAAATTAGGCACACTTCTGGGAATCTCAACATGGCATGAATTTACATGGTCTGAAATGGGAGATAATGCAGGATATATTTGTGTACGATCCTTACTAGGATTTGGACCTTTATATAAATTTAGTCCCTTACAATTACAAAAAATTACAAAGGATTATGTTTTTGAAAACCCAAATCCATCTTTAACTATTCATACACAACCAACAAAAACTTGGACCGCTTTTCATTCTTCTATTCAAGGTGTGTTATATATAATTCTTTGTATAATTTTAATATAATATAACTTGTACTACTATATACATAATAATCTTTTTTAGAAAATGAAAAAGAATTAATTAGTCAAGAAGAGGTAAGACTTGTTATTATTTTATATATCATTTAACCAGTTAACACTTAGCTAATAAATACAATTTATATTAAGAGTGTAAATAGCAACAATAATTCAATTTTAATAAATCTGGCAGATATAACAGACATGGAATTAGATACTCCATCTAGAAGGTACATATTAACTATCTTTTTGCATTTTATTTTTTATTTTTTTTTGAAATTTGGCTAGTATTTATTATATTTTTATAATGTTTTTATTTTAGTCACACAATATTTGTTCCAAGTTGGGCGTTACAAGAAAATCTCAAAGCTAATCAAAAAGATCTGGTAAAATGACTAACTAAAAAAGTAAAGAGATTACTAGGGGTTATGTTTCATTCTGGAGCAACCAATGCAAAACTAAAAATGAATACAACTGAAATGCATATGGAGTTATTACGACGTACACAACTCGGAGAAATTGAATACCAAGATGTGCTCAAGGTGTTCACTATAGCTAATTGGATTAAAAGAATATCTCAGGCTGTAAAACAAAGTATGGCGTTGCAATTTTTAGAAAAAACTGATGAATGATTATAAAATTTTTGAAGAATATACATACTGTTAAATATGAATGGTTTATGGTAATATATGATACTTAGTTTTGATACACTATTAATAGTGGTTCATAAATATTAATTCGATTTATTTTTTTTTTGCAGCAGAATACAAAGAACATATGGCATTTGGTATTACCTAGGTCTTTTAAAATTTAGACATTTTTGAAAAAACTAAATGTACAGTAGAGGCATAATCTAAATCTAATTGGGGTTAGAAAAAAATGAATATAAGTATTCATTAACTTGTTGAAAGACATCAGTAGAATTGGAGCTGAAAAAAATATATATAATTCATTTATTAGTTTGATTAAGTAAGAATCTTAATAGGATAGGAGTCAAAAAAATAAGCATTTTGTAAAGATGAATTGATATATAGCATTTGTCGATTTGTCCGAATAAGTTTATTACTGAATCATTAAAATTTGCTAAAGTGGAAAATTGAAATTGAAAAAGTAATATAGGTATCTGAAACTCAAAAAAAAAAAAAAATTATTAATTAAGTTCTGAAATTTAGCTACCGAATAATATATTAACTAACTATACTAAATCTACAAAAAGTGGGTTGAACTTCTAGTCTATATTAATAGCACATCTTCTTTCTATCAGTTAACGCATCCTTATATAGACATAAATGTTTGTATATAATGCACCAATCTGAGAATATTAATTAGCAATCAAGAATTAGTATTGCATATTAATAGTCAAGGTTTTCAAATTTTGAGATATTTCATAAATTTGCCTTATTAGGGGGTTTCAAAGTTAAATTCAGAGAACCTTATTTTTCTGATTTATAATTCAACATAGTAAAAATGCTATTAAAAACATCCTATTTATTTTTGAAATGCATCACTTATTTGTTAACTTTGAAACCCCATTATATTTATTCACCACAAAACTTTGGTTCAGCGATTTATTATCAGTTAAAATTAGCTAGAATTTTTTAATATAGTATTATTCGTGAATTTGGGCTGATCTTCAAGATTAGATTTTGTTTCTTCTAATATCCCTTTTGGCATTTTAGTTTTCATGCAAAAATTAAAAATCAGGCATCGCATTCATTAATCGAAATTGGGGTTGAGGACAAATCAATGCTTTCATTAAGGTATTCAATTATCTCAATATGCAATAAATATTACATATATTAAATGTGAACTTTATTGACATAATATAGCAAATCTTGATACAAATTATACGCCAATCGAATATATCAAAGATACCAGCATGAGATCAACTAATCTCTAAACGAAGTTCTAATAAATACTTTCTAAATGTAAAGCTTTTTTTGAAGTATATAAATCAGTATTATTCAGGTTTTTTCAATATTCGCATGATTGCTAGTAACCATAGCTTACCTAATTTTTTCCTTATGTTCTCTGTATACAATTTCTTACTCAATACAAGATTTCATTCTTTTCATAAAAAACTCAGATTGTACTTAAAAAAGAGTTGACTATATATAGAATTTTTAAAATTTAATCTAGAGTTTATAGTAAATATGAGCAACCAACTACGAAAAGAAAAAAAAATTACATGCGCAAAAGTCCTTCGACTAAATTGATGTGGTAACATTTCTAGGAAAGCACAAATATAGGTAGTATGAAACATATTAGTTATGCCAATAAAGTTCGAATAAATAGCAAAGTTAAAATTTGTACGAGTTAAAAAGTATTCATAGGATATGGGATGAAAGCACTAATAGTCTTACCTAAAAACCATGATTCAGCCATATTATCTACGATCTTTTTAAATTGAATGAAAGTTAAATTTTTGTATGAGTAATAAACGTAGTATAGACTATACAATTGAGAAGGAATTGTAAGTCTTACAACGATTTGGTCATAGTAAATCTACGATCTGTCTATACTGAATGTGTTTAATAATAAAATAAATCTACCTTTTTTTTTATATAGTGTTAAATGGCAAGCTTTATTCTATGACTTCATAATATTAAAATGTAAGTATCGCTTAATTTTTTGTGTATATTTCCTTTTAAATTCTGGTGTATTTTTTTAATTCTTAAGAGATCGTTCCCAATTTTCTATATCAAATTGGTGCTGGTCTTAGCCAGATTAGCAATTAAGGATATATTAAAATATGGTCTTTTGGAAAAAGGCATGGGCCAGTATGCTTTTTATTGTTTTCCGGTCAAGAAAAAAGAAACCATACTGACAAACTAAGGGTAATTGGCGATATAAGACCTTTAAACAAGTATATTATCAAAGATGGATATCCTCTGCCAATCATACGTGATATTTTGGAGAAAGCCATTGGACACGACTGGTATTTAAGTGTAGATGCCTATAAAGGCTATTGGCAGATAAAAATCTGTGATAAAGATAAAGACAAAGTAGCTATTGCTACTTCGCTAGGTGTATTATATTATACCATTATGTGTATGGGACTCAAAAATGCTAGTGAAACATTTCAGCGTTTAATAGACATTTTACTTCAAGATGAAGTATGGAGAAGTATTGCTGCTGCATATCAGGATGATATTGGGCTTTGGACCTGTGGAACAATAGAGGAGCATGTTGACATGTTTGTCGAATTTGCAAAGACATTCAGCAATGCTGGTCTTACCTTCGCAGCAAAAAAAGTGCCATCTGCTGTATAAAGAACTGAACATATATAGATTTATTGTTAGTAAACAGGGTATAAAACCTGATCCAAGCTGAAAAAGTAAAATAAGCGAATAGAAAACCCCAAGAAACGTTCAAGAAGTTCGTGCTTTCTTAGGCACTGTGAACTACTACTGTCGGTTTGTAAAGAATTTTAGCGCAATCGCTAAACTGCTTACTGAATTAACCAAAAATGACATTGGGTTTAAATGGAATAAAGAACAATCTGAAGCGTTTCAATAGTTAAAATGAAAAATAGTAGATGATGTAATGTTAAAAGGACCAAATTGGCAAGACACCAAAAATGGAAGTCGCCCTTATCAATTGAGTACCGATGCATGTGATTTTGCATTAGGTGTAGTTCTCAAACAGAAAGATGATTTGGAAATGCTTCACCCTGTAATATTTGAATCACAAAAATTAAACTCGCATAAGTTGAACTATACAATAACTTAAAGAGAATACTTGGGCATAGTCTTTGGCTATAACATGTGTGAGCGATACATGGCAGGTACAACATTCGATATATGGGTTGACCATCAAGCCTTGGAATGGCTATTCAATAAAACCCAGTTAAAAGAACATTTAATACGATGAGTAATTACTTTACAAGCATTTGATTTTAATATATAGATCTGGTAAAAAACATGGACACGCTAATGGTCATTCAAGATATTCTGACCTGGCATTACCTGTAAATCGACCTTCAGATGAAGAGTTTGTTGATTCATTGTTATTAAGTATGAATAACATGGTTGATCAATATGCAAAGAATTTGGAAGTAGTTAAATTCTACTTAAAGTATATGCATTGCCCGCATGATATGCAAAAGAAACACTTACCAAGACTCCAAAACAAAGTCAAAAGGTATTGTGTGATTGAAGGTCAATTGTTTCGAAGGTCTGTCAATAATAAACTACCATGTAGAATAATAGTAAATAATAAAGAAAAAGCTAGTATTTTGAAGGCGAATTATGACGGACTTGTAGAAGAAGGTAGATATCATGGTGTAAATGGCACAGTTAGAAAAATCTTGTTGAATTATGTGTGGGGCAATAGTAGCATATATAAAGATATAAAAAAGTATGTAGCATCTTGTCAAATTTGTCAAAAATGTAGCGATAAGCAATTACCGGAGCCTATCCATGTGACTGCCACAAGCTGGATTTTCTATTGACTTTATATTGACTGTATTGGGCCTTTACCCAGAACTTCTGCTGCCCATGAACACATAGTTGTCGCAGTCAAAGATCTAACTAGATTTATTGAGGCACGAGCATTAAGAAATAAAAATGCAAAAGCAATTGCAGCATTTATTTAGGATGAAATAATCACCAGGCATGAATGTTTTGCTGAATTAACCTCCGATAGAGGTACAGAATTTAAAAATAAATTAATAGAGGAATTGACTGCGCGATTACAAGTAAAACAACAATTTACAGCCAGTTACCATCCGGAAGCCAATGATAGGGCTGAATGAATGGTGCAAAAACTTACTTGTATTCTGAGAAAGGTCAGTGCACAAGCACAAAATCGCTGGCATGAATATTTGCGTGCTGCTGTTTGGGCGCTTAATATCAATGTAGGAGATTTGGGTTACTCACCTTTTAGACTAGTATATGGTTGTGATGCAATAACCCTGATTGAATTAACTCTCGAAAGTTATCAAGTTTTTATGATCAAGAAAACTTGGACTACTAACGACCTATTGGCTTTTAGAACACAACAAATAAAAGGATTAGTGTATGAATTAAAAGAAGCAAAGGTGAATCAGGACGAACTTTGGGAGCAATGGAAGAAATTTCATGATTATCATGTGAATGCATATAAAGAAAAGATCAAAATTGGTGATTTTGTACTTGTTTATGATTCAACACTTGACAATTCACCCCAGAAACTGAATTATAGATGGATTGGTCTATTTGTTGTACGAAGAATCAGAGAAAAGGGTCACCTGTATTTGAACGAAATGGATGGAAGTGTATTAGCAGATTCTTTTACTAGAAACTGGGTAAAAAGATTGAAGCAAAGGCCAAAATGGATGAATTTGCAAGATAGTGACTTCGAGAATGAAGATCATGGGGGTCTAGCTCCTGTCACGATGGTGGTCAAACCCCTGTATACTATGTTCAGGGAATGTTGGTTGTTCAGATTTGGATTTCGATCATAACATCACGTGGGCATGTGGTGCTTGTGATAATCAGGGTAATAGACACTAATCAGATAGACCAATGACTTCATGCATGGATAGTTTATTTGTAATATGTATGTCATAGATGTAGTCTATTGTTATTTGTGCGCAATCTTGCATTAAATATGTAGTCATCGATGTATAGTTTGATGAAACCAATTTGTAGTCAGAGAATTGATATAAATAGAATAAAGAATTCATAAGCGAATCCAGTTCTCTCTTTTACAATAATAAGAAATCACTTAGTTAAATAAAATACAAACCTGTGGTTCCTCAAGTAGTCACGTGTGTGTGTTTCATAAAGTTAAGATGTTGCTCCAGAATCGAAGGAGGTGTCGCCAAGCCTTGTGAGTTTGCTGATAAACCCCAAAGTGCCCTGATCTGAGCTAAACTAGCACTAGGAGACTGTCTAGTGCGTACCCACTTGACAACTATTCTCACAGATAATGACCTTGTGATGTCCGATGCTATATGTTCTGTTCTTACTGAAAAGCATGGTACCAAACATGGCCTTTGTATTTGGCATATGTTAAAGAATATTAGGGCCAATATGACCTCTAAGATTGGAATGAAGTATAACATATTTCATGTGAATCTTATAAAATACCTAAATCATTATATTGACAAAGATGAATTTGAAAAACAATGGAATTGTATAATAGAAAATGATGACTATGCTGAGGCAAAATCATACTTGGAAGTTCTTAGTTGGTGGCGTGAATGGTGGGCCCCGGCATATTTAAAGGATTATTTTTTTGCTGACATGGCATTGACACAGAGAGGAGAATCAATGAATAGTCTGTTAAAAGGCTTTGTTGACTGTAAAACAAGGCTTCCAGAATTTCTAGCAGCCTTTGAATATGCACTTGATCTCTGCAAAGAGGCTGAGCATATTTCTGCTTATAAGGAGCTTGTTTATTCTATCCCTCAGACTTTCCCAAATCCTATTGAAAATCAAGCCTCTGGTTATCTGACGCAGTATGCCTGAAAGAAATTTATGGTTGAGTGGAATGCAAAAGATGCATATGCGTGTGAAGAAACAACAGATGACGATGAAGTGAGTTGTTTTGAATTGTCATGTTACGAAAGTCTTGACATTATACATTGGGTCCGCTATGATGGTCATGTACTTTCTTGCTGCTGCCGTAATCTCGAATTTGCCAGGATAGTTTGTCATCATTCTCTTGCAGTTGCAGTTCATCTATCTTTTGCCCAACTCGATACTATTCACTTCCCAAAACACTGGCAAAAAGATCCGTCTGAGTTGGAGCTTGCCAAAGATTATGTTAATTTTTATAGCCATTCACAATCACAAGTCCCGAAAGCTTTAACATTGCATGAATCATGCGGTGAAGATAACTCTCAAATCTGGTTTATGCATACCCATCGACTATCAAGGGAAATTGCAAGTAAGATTGCAACAGACCCTGACAAATGTGCAGATTTTACGTTGTACCTTGAGAAGTATTTGGAGGCATTATATGTCATTGATGATGATCCTGTTTCAATTAATGGGAATACTTCGGCATCCTCAGAACCTCCAATAATCAGCAACCCTATAAAGAGTAAGGCTGTTGGGCAACCAAAAAAAGGAAGAATTAGATGTGAAAAGGAAAAGGAAAATACACCTCCTGTAAAAAAAAAGCGAGGCCGACCAAAAAAAAATCTTGAAATGGTCCCGACCCAAAAACGTGTCCATAATAATATTACCTAAGGTAAATTTTTTTGTTACATCATACTTTTTATTTATTTATGAGATGAAAGCTAATTGGACAATTTTTTGACTCTAAAAATTTCTCTTACCGTTAATATTTCCTATTAAGCGTGATGAATTGCAAATGAAAGAAGTAAAAGTTTGGAATTATGTCATCAAATGATGAATTGCACAAAATCCAGGCTTATCATCAGAATGTGAAAACTGATGAGTTTTTAGCTTTAAAATCACATTCAAAATTTTTTACCTAAAATCACAATCTTAAATAAAATAATTGAAATGCATAAGATTATACAAGAAAATATTTTTTATCTCTGTATGTTTATTATTTTTAAATCTTTAATGACAGAATTAATATTTATGTACCCTAGAGGTACATTAAAATTTTTTATACCCGCGTTCCTGTGTAATATAAAAATCACAGGATATATAAACAATGATTATCATTTGATCATTGTTTTTTTTTTTTTTTTTTGCTAGCTAACCTTTTTGTTTACCTTAGGACGTCACTGGAATTGTCGCTTCGTATTGTCGTGTAGGTGTCGTCACTGTTTAGGTGTTCTTGTGATTGTGGATTTCGTCGTTTGGGTGGTTTTGCGTCATTGTGTAGGTGCCGTCGTTATTTGGGTGATTTCATATCGTTGCATAGGTGCCTGTTTTTTTTTTTTTTTTGCTAGCTAACCTTTTTGTTTACTTTAGAACGTCGTCGGTTTCATAGTTGCTTCGTATTGCCGTATAGGTATTGTTGCCGTTTAGATGTTCTTGTGATTGTAGATTTCGTCGTTTGGGTGGTTCTGCGTCGTTGTGTAAATGCCGTCATCATTAAGAGGAAAAGTATTACAATGCGGTTTACATGATTGATTTCTTTTGAACATAAGAAGGATAATCTGTATAATATTACCGACAATCACTTCTATTCAACTATTACTGTATTATACACATATGTATCTTTTTTACTGTATTTTTTTGCAGAAGGATCAGTCGTAATGGCTAGGATGCATCAGATTAGGATCGGGGTTAGGGTTAGAGTTAGCTATGCGGGTTAGCAGAAGCTATAGTAAAATTATCAGCTGGGCATTTTTTACTTAATAAATGACTATGGTTTCATTAGTAAAATTCTTAGTGATCTTGGGCAAAATCGATCAATTCTGGCCTATCCAGCCAATGTTCTGAAGCATTCCAACCAGGAATTTTGGGGATCTCCCTGTATGAGTTAGTAA